CGGCCGTCCGGCATTCTTTTCCGACAACCTCAATACCAAATGACCACACATGACTTAACATGAACAATATACTGAACCCACATGAAAACATTAAACATTTGCACAACGAACCATCAACGGCCGTGGGGTGCTTGCTATATGCGAGACCTTCGGCCTATGGCCAATTCCTCGGCCAAACTTAAAAATATCTCGACCAACATGAACTGACTGACTATAAATTGACCTAACTTGATCTTTTAAACATAAACTGTTCGGACTAACTTGACCATAATAAAAGATAAGGTCACCAAGCCCTTAATGGCCCGTGGGTGTGCGCTAGGTGCGCAGCCCACCTTCTTGAGCCATATAATGAACGTAAAGCTAACTTTCCTCGACCTATCTTTCTCAGCTGAATACTATACTTTAAATAAAAGCTGAAGAAACCAAAAATGCTCATGACTTGCTGAAAAAAATTGAACTTAACTCGGTATAGAACTAACATGCCCTAACCGAGTTTAACATGAACTTTCTTAAGAATTTCTGAAACTAACTCGAACAATTAACCTTGAAATGACCTTACTAACATGAATAAAAGCTGAAGAGGGAGTTACCTCTTCAATTACTCGATCGAAACACCCCAATTACTCAAGTTCTTTTTTACTCTGTGCGTGCGCGACTTGCCGTGCGATTTGCCGTGCGATAGTATGAGGAGGTGAGGGATTAAATAGAGATACTTGCTGCTGAAGGAGATGGTATAAGGCTGATCGTATAGAGGGGGTAATATGCTGCATATGTCTTAGGAAAAATGGGGGAAAATGTTACCAACTCAAGCATATATATAGGGTCGTGGGGAGATGATGGTTACGCACGAAGGACGTGGCCTCTTAGGCCCTTGCCACTTGCTCTTAATTGGGATGATGGATGATGACTAATCCCTTCCTAGTGTATACCATAAAGCCACGTGTGAGGGTTAAGGGAAAGGGAGGCATAATTCCTTAGGACTTAAGAAAAAATTGGGTACACTTGAACTTAAATACATATATAACAACACTTACGGCTTTTGCTTCCCTT